GTTATTTATATTAGTATTGTTTAAAATCCTGAAGAGATTGTGTTAAAGAATCGAAAAATTTTTTAAGAAAGAAATTGACTGATACTATTCATTTAGTAAATATATTTTAAATGTCATCTGAAAATAAGATTTGCCCTCTCTGCAAAAAAATTGATCTTCCTTTATCATTTTTTATGTTTATCTATTGTGATATAATATCTAAGTCTAGAAAGTCAGGTTATATACATTACAAGAATTCTTCAATGTAAGTAATAAATAAGGTTTAGTAAGTAGAATTATTTTCAAAAAAATTTAATTTTTACATTGAATCTGAAAGAGAAAAGTATAGTATAAATTATTAATTTAACAAAAATACTCATATTTCACAAAGTAGCATAAAAGAATAAACCTACCTTTAATATTCTGAATAAGTAAGATTTGAAAAAGAATAACTTAACTATGAGTCATACTTGTTAAAAAAATAAAAAAAATATGTAAAAATCATGGGGAAGGTAGGACAAATAAAAAATATATAAAAAAAAAATAACTAAAAAAATAATGGGAGGAGGGAAAGGAGGGAAGACAAATAAAATTATGTAAAAAAATAAAAAAACAAAAAAATAATAAAGAGAAGAGGGATGAATATAAAAATTAAATAAAAAAAATGAAATTAAATATATAAAACTAAAAAAATTAATGGAATAGAAAAGAATAAAAGAAAAACAAAAAAAAAAAAAAATATAATTAATAATCATTTTTTTTCAATTTTGTAAATTAGTATAATATTTCAAATAGACTTTTTAGCTTATTGTAATAGCGCAATTAGATGCATATAATTTGATCCTTTTTTTTCATTAATTGGGATTATTAATCCATTTTTTTCTTTATTTTATTTTAATTAATTTTTCTCTCTCTCTAAGATGATTTCTTTAGATTCAGATCAGTCATTTCATCACAATAGCATAATTAAGTGTGTGATAATATTTTCTTTTTATTATTATTTTAATTATTTATTATTTTACTCGTTAAATAAAAAAATAAGGTATACATTTATGCTAATTAAAAATAATTAATTGAGTAATATTAAAAAAAAATTAATTATTAGAATATATGATTATAAAAAAAATCTTTAATAAAAATTAGCAGATATTTAAATTTGAAAAAATTTCAAATTAAATTAGTGATTATAAAAAAAATTTTACACATAAAAAAATAAATTTAAATTTTAAAAAAATTTTTTAAAAAAATAGCAGGTATTAAAATTAATAAAAAACTGAAAAAAAAAAATTAAAAAAAAAATTAAAATTTAAGGTTAAAAAAATAAACTGAAAAAGAAAAAATAAAAAAATAAAACTGAGATCGAAAGAATGAAAAAAAATGAAAAAAATAAATAAATTAAATGAAAAATAAAAGAAAAAATTGAAAAGAAAATGAAACATATTCAAATTAAAAAAGTTAAATAAAAATGAAATATTTATTAAAAATTTATTTTTATTATTGCAATAGTGACTCTAGATAGAATTATTAGTAGATTTTAATAAAATCAGATTGATAAATTTAATTTAATTTTTTTTTATTAAAATAAATAAATTAATTTTTTAATTTTATTTTCTATTTTCTATTTTCTTAATTTTGTATTTTTTATATTTTATTTTTGTTAATTAATTTTTATTTTATATTTCCAATTTTTTTAATTTACAGTATTTTTATTTTTTAGAATTAATTTATTTAAAGTGTTTACTTAATAAATCAATATATTATATTCAATTAATTGAATCTTGAGAAATGATAATCGAATTGATTCTAATAATATCTAGTGGTGATGAATTACCACACACTGTTCTAATCTAATTAATTAATTCTAAAATTAATTTTTAAATTTTTATTTTTTAGTTCTCTATGTCTCACTAAATACTTTTTTCTTATCACACACCTTTCACTACTTTACAAATAAATTGAACTTTAGTTAAATAGTGGATTAAAGTAGTTATAAAAAATTAATGCCATCAGCAAAAGCACTTTCTGAATCAGTTTTAAAAGAAGCATCAAAAGATTTGGTTAAGAATAATATTGCTACTGCACAAAAGGATTTGAATAGAGTTACTGCAGTATTTGATGGATAGATGAATTTGTGATCTGAATATTTATTTAGTATAGTATTTATTATATTTGAAGAAAGATCAATAATTTGGGATGTTAAAGATATTAGTTTTAAATGATCTAAAACAAGTAATATAATTTTTCATATAAAAAATATTATGAAGCAGGTACTTAAGCATCAAATTAATATTAAATACTTTGTATCAGATTCAGCTGGAGAGTATATTGCTGCTAAGTATTTAAATTATTTATCAATAAAATTATTATTTCAGCTAAACAAATTTTAAAATTAATAATTTTTTTATATATAGGTGTCAGATATGTGTTGAGTATAAAGAAAAAATATTTTTACCACGTATAACATACTAAATGAATTTAGTATTTGGTGATATTTTTAAAGAATCAAAGAAATATAAAGAAAGTTCAACAAAAGCAATTCAGATTGTTAGCTTTTTCATATGGTTTCTTATTTTCCTGATAATCTAAGAGATAAATAAATGTTAATTTATAATAAAACTATTGCATTAGCAAGACCTAGGAATATATACTGAAATAGTTATTATTTCTGTTTTCATAGTCTTTTAAAAACTAAAGCTGCATTAAAGGTATTTAAAATTTTGTATAATTTATTATATTATAATATAATTAGTATAATAATATATATTAATAAAGGAATTTTTTAGTCATTAGTAGCAAAGTTTTTGCCTTAATCTAAAATTAGGCATATTACTACTTCAATATGTGATAAATTATTATTAGCTAACATTATTTATTCAAATAGTTAACGATCACTCATTTTGGTCTATACTTTTTGAATTGCAAAATTTATTACTTAATAAACTTCAAAAGGATACAGCAAAAATTCATGAAGTACTTCATATTTTTGCATTTACAATAAAACTTGTTTGTGAATTATCTGATTCTGAATTTAGTATAAAGATGGTAGAATAACTTGAAAAAAGATAGATTCAACGAGAGCAGCTACTTTTATTACTTTCTTTTATTCTTTATCCATATTATAGTGTTGAAATATTTCATTTAACTGCAAAGCATGTTACTTATACAGATTTTGAACAATGGATAAACTATTATTATGAAGTTTAGTTTAATGATTAGCCAAAATCAATTCTTTTAGAGTTTGTTAAGTTTAAAAAAAGGCGATATCCTTTTGATCAAACAGTAAACCAATTTGGAGAGGATATTATGAGTTTTTAGAAATCATGTTCAGGACATACTTCAGAGTTATCAAGTTTAGCATTACATCTTTATAGTATTTATATAAATGCTGCATTAATGGAACACCTATAGTCTATTATGGGTTTTTTTATATAAAAGAAAAAATCAGTTGGAAGTAAATTATTTTTTAAACAAAATTACATTTAATTTAATTATAATTTATTGTTTACTTTATTTATTATTTATTAATTAGAATAAAAAGGTTTTAGATATGGCAAGAATTAGAGGTGATATCCTTTATAAACAAAAAATTAAAGAAATAAAGGAAGGGCAAAAACAAGCACAGTACCTTCATATTGTTACACCAAATTTAAATAATCAGGAAAGTGATAGTTTAGAAGAAGAAGAGAATATCTCTGATTATGAAGAAGATGAGGGAGATTAAAATGTTAACGACTTAGAAAATAATAGCTCAGAAGATGATGATTCAGTTAAAAATGAAGAAACTAATAATGATTTTTACTGGTCAGAAATCTGCACAAATTGGATTAATTTAGTTGATCGTAAAAATCAATTTGATAATAAAGAAGATAATCATTTATTCAAATGGAATATGATTTTCTTGCAGTTAGAAGGAGCACATATCCTGCTAATGATAATACTGCAAAATAGAGTTTAGAGTATCTTTTTAAAGAAAATCTAGTACCAACTTTCTTAGAAATGAAGTTTAATCCTTAAATAATAATAATTCGTTTGAAATGTAATGAGTTGTTAATTAAAGATCAAATATTTTATATAAAAATGCAAATTTTTTTTTATAAATTATAGAAAGATAATATCATAATTCTAATAAATTTAAATTCGTTTCTTTTTTATTTTATTATTAATTTAAGAATCCATTAAAAAAAATAGAAAAATTTGCATTGATACATTTTATTCTATAAGATACATAATATTTATCAAATGACTAAATGACTTATCATTTGAGTAATCAAATAATATATAACAAATAACATATCATTTGAGTCATTTGGTCATTTTAAGTCATTTGCTGAACACTAATTAAAAATTATCATTTACCTTTTTTTATTGAAGTGTAAAATCTGAATCTAAAAAAGAAAAAAAAGTAAGATGAATAAAAAGTAATGAAAAAAATATTTAAAAATTATTATAAACTTTGTTTTTCCATATAATATATTTCAAACTTAAAGGAAAAAAGAAAAGAGGTAAATTAGATAATGAAGTAATGAAGGTATTCTCTGTTCTCAGAATATTCAACGTGAGATGTGGTGCAGTGTGACAAATTATTTATTATAAAAATCACATGACTTTAATGATAATCATTATCAATGATCAATAATAAAGTTCAAAAATTATATTATTAAATAATTATTAATTAAATTTAAATTTCTTTAAGGATTTATTTTTTAATTTATATTAACTATTAATTTTTTTTTAAAATAGTAATATTTGTTATACAAATATATTTTTAACATTTTATAGTTATTTATTATAATATATTAATATAATTATATTAATTAAAAATTATCTTTTACTGTTAATAACTACCCACCCCTACAATAATAAATCATCGGAAATTGATTATATAATATACTGATCAAAAAAATTGGGTATCGTTAAACTTTGATTTTATAAAAATATTATTATTTATTTGTACTATAAAAAAATAAAAAAAATAAAATAATATTCAATTTATTATTTAATTTAAATTCAAAAATTAAATGCTAGTATTTAATGTGTCCACCTTTAACTTTAATAATATCTTTAATACGTTTAGGCATACTTAAAATTAAACAATGTAATAATTCTATATTTAAATTTGCCCATTCTTCTTGCGCAACTCTAATTAATTCTTGCTTGGATTTAGGCAAAGGTTTCCTTTTTCGTATTTGACGATCTAAATAATCCCACAAGCATTCAATAGGGTTTAGATCTGGACTTTGCGC